GGGTGTACTCGGTGTCCATTTGCAAGTTACCTGCTGTAAAATCTTTTTTACCTGCTGTAATTTTTACTAACAACAACCCTGTTAATGGTACAGGTAATTGTATAGCACATTCCACAATAAAATCGTCTCAAGACTGACTTTTATATAGAAGGGGAAAAAAACATTATTTTTAAAGTAACTACAGATACACTGTTAATTCTAGGGTTTTCAAAGAAATTGTTTGATAGTTCGACAGGTGGTTGATGTCATTTTCACGTCAGAGTGAAATTTTGCAATATATACACCTTATTATTTTTATTCTGGTGGTTAGAAACTTACAGTATTCAGCAGTTAGTAGATGTTATCTGTGCTATACACTTAAAATAAATAAAGTCAATTAAAAAATATAAATAAAAGTATGCAAATTTATCCTAATATTTTTAGATAGTAACCGAGGAAACAAAAATATCAATTTAAAACAATTCATTTTTCTGTGTCTGCTAAAAAAGTATATCCTGAGGTGCCAAAAGCATGTCATCTGCTACTGTAGCTAAATATCTGTAGGCTGTTGTTAAAAACATGTACCTTTCTTTTAATAGTCAAGTAAACAGCTCCAAGATGTAAAATCTCTTAAGTGTGGAGTTGTCTTTGGGCACAGAAAAGAAAAACTGCTGTCTCGCAGGATTAGAACCAGACCCCAGGGACTACTGTAACTGTAAGAGGCAGTTACCTAAAGCACCATGCTACAGCTCTGTGCTGACTGACTAGGCACCAGAATGAATATAAGAATTTATTTAAAGATTAAAGCCTAAGAGTATTACAGTACTTTGTGGAATGATATTTTTAGAAATTTAATTTAAAAATCAAATGCTCAATTTTACAAATCCTACATTTAACAGTTACCAATTTGAGGCGTGTTGATATATTTTTAATTATTTTAATTATTTTCAATTTTTATTAGCCTCTTGGGTAATCTTTTTTATGAATTTTAATTATTTATACTTGAAATGTATTTCATGGAATGAGTATTTAGTAGAGTGCTCTTCAATTTGATGATTTTAATAGCACTGTAGCAGTCTTAATAGCAAGAGATGTGAACACAGTAAGAATTAGATAACTACATTATAACAGTGAACACTAATAATAGTATAAGATACCATTTCAAAGTTTATGGTTTACATGTCCCTTTACTAGTACTGTACATAGCTTTTACAGTCTTTATTGGCAATATTGAAGCAATGTACTTGCAGATTGTTTTTAAATTATACGATGTAAATCAGCAGTTTTGATATCAAGTCTATACCAGAGCGTAGAGGGTTTAATTTTCCCGTTGTTGCAAAGTTTAGGCCTACCTGACGACAGCTGCGGTTGGCGCCAAGTAAGGCCTAATTCTGAAATGCACCCGGGTTATCCTACGCTAAGTGCATCTATCCCGGAATGTTTGGCAAACCGATTTGGACTTTTTGACGTTTACACTAACCACAATTCAGGAGATTTTAACCCGGGTATCGGAAAATCCTGGGTTATGTCGAGAATTTTGCTTGTTTTGTAGTGTAAAATAACAGGGGTATTAAATAGAAGAGAATAGCTTTCTACTCAGTTTATGAATTATAGGCCTATATTTAGTGACACATTTATAGATTAACTAATCACTTTTCACAAAGAATAATCTTGATAGAAACTTGAAAACTAATCATGTTATGGGTGTCAAGGGTTTTGTGAAAATGATTGAGATGATCTGAACATTTCTGCTTTAATATTAAAGTAAACAAAGGAGGATTATACAAAAAATGAATGAGATTGAAGCTATATTTTGATTGGCATGTGTATTACCTGATGTATTGATCAAGACAGAAGTTAATAAATTATATGTTTACACAGGTGAAGCAAAGCAAAATTAGTTAACTAATATCAACAAAATAAGGTAAAACAGAAACATCAACGAAGTGTTTACAAAGTATAGAAAATACCAATTTAAACTGAATTGAAATGGTTTGCATAAATTTGTCTCTCTCTACAGGAGTATATGGGAAGGTAAACAAACTGTACTCACTATGATGAGTGGCAGTCCTCTCAAAGCATTAACACATTCTGGCCCCCAATGCTTACAAAGAGGAATAGCACTCCGGACTTCATTATCTTTTTAGTGTTTACAGTAAATGATGCCATGAGTAAATGTTTATGAAACAAAATCTGATTAGTTAAATAATCAAATAATGGAATAAATATTAAGTACCGTCAGATAAGTAGACAATTAGTTAATAATTATTGGGGTCAATGAGAGTTTTATAAAATCAACACTAAACAGAATAATAATTACTGTAAGAACAATAAGCAATTTGATCAAAGTAAATAAAATTATGTATAGTAAACTATAAAAATCAAACTATAAAATCTCTACTACAGTATATCCTGTCAGTAACAACTACAGAATACATTCAAATACAAACAATTTTTATGAATAATCATTTTATTTTCAACTTTCTTGATGTTGGTAAAATTAAGTATATGTTATATTTTTGGTATATAGTACATATTTTAAATTGTTAGGGTTAAATTTTAAAATAATTTTTAATTGTGTACCGGTAGTACTGTAATGTGTAAAATTTTTTGTTATTTTAAATTTATTGTTGTCTATTTTTATAATGCCTGTAGTACCATGCAGTATCTACTCAAGAAAAACATTTAATCACATGTTGTTTTATATAAACTAAAGTTTGATATGGATGAGTAACATTATTTTTACTGTAATCTAATACTATAATTAAGGAATCTGTTCCTGCAGTTGTCAGAATTTTTCCTAAAGTAGGAAATAACTTTACAACTCAGTGCGTCCATTGAGACTAATAAATGAGTAAATTGCAAGTGTGTAGTTTATGTTTCTGTCCTAAAATTAGCATTATAACTTTAGATAAGAAATATATAATCATCATCAGCCGTGTACAATGTACTGAAGCTCTATCCAAGCTATTAACATTTATTTGACTAACACATGTGACATGCCTAAATATGGTCATGATGGCATCACATGACCATATTGTATATCTGTAGGCACATTATGACTATATATGTGATACAATAGTTCTTTTGTAAAAAAAAAAAACAGTAGTAGATACTTGAACAGTGGAATTTTGTCATGTAAATTTATTTTGACAAAAACATGTGACATGCCTAAAGATGGTCATGATGACATCACATGACCATACATCTGTAGGCACATTATGACTATATATGTGATACAATAGTTCTTTTGTAAAAAAGAAATTGATAATCTGGCAGCAGGGCTGAAAATGGTGCAAACACACTGATTGAAAAAAGAAGCGGTTTGGCGCAGCGTGAAAGGTTTAGTTTCCCAACCTCGAGGTCGGGGTTTCAATCCCTCGCTGTGCATTTCGCTTGTGTCCTTGAGCAAGACACTCTATCTGCATTGCTTCTCTCCACCCAGGAGTATAAATGGGTACCTGGTGGGGTTGCTTGCTCTTGCGCTGAATACAGCAGCAACACTTAAGCACGTGGATCCAATGACCAGGGACAGAAGCGCTTCGTATCTGCAAAGAAAGGCGCTATATAAATAAATATGATTAGATTAGATTAGATTAGATTGAAGGTATCACACATTTTCAGAGGCATATTTTGTGGGTTGGAGTATGAGGTATCTTTTTTTTTGGGTGTTGATTTTTCTGTTCCTGTTTTCTTCACTGATCGCACTGTATGATATCACTAACATTGGAACATGAACAGTATTATTTGCTGGTTGCCAATTATGTCTAGAGAGATTTTAAAAATATTTTATAGCAAGAAAGGAATTATTGAGCTGCAAAATAGGGATTTACTGATGGTGCAGTAGGCTTACTGTATGCATGGGTGTAGAATGACATGATCACAGCTTGTACAAATGGCTATTGCTGTAATGAGAGTACAGTACATACACATTACTTTGATTAAAGTTGTCACATTGGTCTATCTGATGTTTGTAATCTCTGTAACCTTTCACTTTATTTTCAGTGATAATTCGCATGCTTTAATGTTTAGGCAAGACTTTATTTATACCTTGTTTAACGAACCCATCAAACACAAATATTGATGATTTCGAATAAAAATAAAATTTTATTTTTGGCCAATTAGTGTACCCGCCGCCACAAAAAATACAAATTTCAGAAAAAAAAAGGTTTTCCTTTGTTTTATTATTCCCCTTGCTGCCTTGAAATCTCCAAAGATAAGATATGCATATTTCTTCCTAATTATATAAATTTGAAGCATTTTCCATCCTATTTTACATTCACCAATAAAATTTTATCTTTATTTTCCTCTCTGCCTGGATGTTTTTGGCAAAACTATGTGCTAAATAAGAAAACAGAATTTTATTGTTTTTTTATTTCGCCCTCCTCCGATGATCTTTAAAAAATAATAGTCACATACTTCTCCTACTATGGAAGATAGTTCAACAGTGGAATTGTCATGAAAACATTTAAAAAAATGTTTATACATCAAGTACAAGGAACAACATTCAGGTGTAAGTTACTGAGGGAAGTACTGTAAAAAAAGAAATTAGTGAACAATTTTATTATGAAATAGTAAAATAAATTGATTGAAAAAGTCTCTATGCTTAGTGAAGTGAGTTGTTTTTAGTTGTGTGGGTTGGATTTGAACTTAAGACCCTGGGTTTGGAAGCAGTGGTAGCTAAAGAAATTTTCCAAACCAAGTGGCTAACTAGAGCCCCAGTAAAATTAATATTTTTGCTCTGATGACTTTGTTTTGATGCCGAACAATGGCTAATAGCTAATTACAGATACTTGACACAAAAATTAACAGTACAGTACCATCAGTATTATAATTCAAGAAAAAATACCTTTCTATTATAAAGTTAATTAAGAATGTTCCCACTGATCAGTTCACATTTTCTTTGAGGCTACTCAAAGTTCATTGAGTTGAAACTGGCTGGTTGATATTAATAGTATTGATCGATGTACAATACAATAGGCCAATGTAATTTTACTTGAAAGTTGCATCAATAATTGCATAATATTCATAGTACAGTATGGCATTTATTCTGCTTTGTAATGGGGCCCAACGACCTTACAGTATCTATTTTTGTGGCGTTAAGCATATTTTTCTAACGTTAAGCTGTGTTTAATTAGTGGTTAGATGCTTCAACTTTCATTGCCAAGGTTCTTTGTGGCAAAAACATGTTTCATAACCAAAAACAGCTTCATTTAATATTCCGTAAGCCTTGTAAAGAGAAGAATTTGGTTTAAAATAGAACATTGAATGATAGTCCAAATTGGTTTGCACTCCACTCCCAGCCTCCTAAAAAATAATTTCCTAACTAGAGCATCGAAGGTCGAAAAGCCCATAACAAATAATTAACCAGAATCTTTGTGGATTTTTTTGGCTTCAGTAGGCCTAAAGTCACTACCTGTAGGCATAATAAAGACAAGTTTCATCTTTAATACTTCCTGCTTTCTAGTAGTAAGTACTCTCCTTTACACATTGTCTGACTTGGTATAAGCTTTGTATTTATTATTGTACAAGCTTGTTATTGTTGCTTCTACAATTAGTATGTTGGAAAAATGTGAACTCACTGTTTATTTGAATGGTGAGTGGCGATCAACTGAAGAGGTGTTATGCACGCTTCTGTTCACGCGCCCCTTTGATACCTTACATATTCAATACAATGAGGCTTTCAATTCCAACACCAGCAGTGATAAAAAAAAAAACTAAAATTGACTTCTTAAAGTATTCTTAATCTCCACATTGTAAGCTTAAAAATGATAGGTCATTGGCTGTAATTGACTTACAATTGGCAAAGAAAAGTAAAAGTATTACGGCTTTCCTGTACTAATTGCCATATTCTAGTGCTAATTACTCAGATAAAAATTAGCGACAGTACGCAGGTTTTGGAATGGCAAGCCTTATGTAAGCCTGGAAATTTTACCAATTTAAATTTTTTAAAATACAGAAATTGAATCATAAATTGATATTTTTGTTTTTCAGCACAATCACCGATACCCAGAAATGGATATAAATGTTACTAAATTATGGGAGTACAATATAACCGGAATTGGGGTTGTGATTGCTGTTATAGATGATGGTAAGATGTTTTTATGCATTATAACAAAAAATATTTTAACTCAAACAAATTCACAAGAGAAAAAAAAATGTGAACAATTAAAGTTGAGAAGGGAGAGTATAATTAAATGTTTTGTCTGAACTTATGAAATACAATGCAACATTAAGGGTGTGTTATCTCCTAAAAATGAAAATTAATTAATTAATTTGCTCATTTTGCAATAACATACAAATGATTAACTTGAGCATAAATATTATTGAATTTAAAAAATGTGTACCCTGATTGTGACATTGGATAATGATAATAAAAATAATTAAACACTGCCCGTGCCTGTTACTGTAGTGTTTCGCTATATAATTAATTGGTAAACATTTTTAAAATATTTTTTTGTGTTCAAGTTGATAAATTTTATGTTACAATACTTCAAAATGAGCAAGTTAATTTCAAAAATGATTTTTTTTTTTTGTATTTTTGCATGGGACAATACAGTCTCATCTTCAACATCGTCATCATCAGTATTCTGCCAAGGCAAGTTCTTGTCTTACAGGCACTAATCATCATATTATGTTCTCCATGCTTCACAATCTTTAACAATGAACATCTTAAAATAAACCCCTAGATACACAAAGGACAAACATATTTTATAGTTATTAAACATAAGCAATCATGAATCAATACATTGTCTATTCCCTTTTGTGTGATTTCCTCTTGAAAAGATAACCATTATCAGAAGATTTATAGGATATGCATGGTTTCAATTGAAAGGATTATCAACGTTATTATTGGAAATTGAAAAAACTGAAGATAAACAAGAAAAGATTGATAATAAAAACACAGGAGCCAACCGATAAGCTAAGAAAAACAAAAGTAAACCTAAGTTATTATTGATATAAATAGAAGAGGGTGAGGGAGGAAGTATACCAGGAACAAAGTTACTGCATGTTGTGGCCTGAACTTTACAAAGGTCAAAAGCCAAAAGCACCTTACTTGTTGTAAAGTTTAAAAATATATTATAATTTTAAATTGTTTGTGCTGGAAAAAAAAATGTATATATAACACCAACAGGCAAAGTAATAATGTTAAATGCTTGCGGTACACCATGTAGATAGTTTTGAAAGGAACTGTTGAAAAGTTGAGAATGAGTTTGGCCAACGTTTACATATTCATACCCACTTGGCGAAATCGTGGTGACGTCATCTTTGGTGACTAATTCGGTCTATTGGTCAATCGGAGTAGGGTCAGAAATGATGTGCATTTCCCACAAAATGCATGTGTTTTCACATGTTTATGCTGTCGTTTTGTGAACCTTAAAAACAATATCCAAGGATCGGGGTTTAGTGGTAACCCTATTACCATGATATCATTGTTGGTTGGAAGAGTACCCAACTGGTGGTCTAAGTGTCTTGAGATCAAATCACAATGTGGACAAATTAAGTTGTTCTTAAAAACTCAGTGTTATATTGTAACACTTTAGAAATGTTATTTCTATAACCAAGTTATATTTATTTTTTTTTATTAGCAATTCAGATTCTGAAATGTTAGGGTTCAAACCATGTACTTGCCTTTCATTTGTGACTAACCTATATCCAGGTTTTACTTTACACAGAACAAATTATAATACCTATCAAACCAAATGTAGGACAAAAACCAACCAGGACAATAACCACCTAACAATAACCAAACTATCAAAAATGGACTATACCATTGTTAAAGAGTGGTGGACATAAGGGTGGACAAAAGAATATTTAGAAGGAAAAAAAATAATAAAACAATATTTATAGGCCTATAGTGCCTGTTGGATCACAGATCTCTCTAGAAAAAAATAAAAACAATTTTAGTTTTGAATTATGGATTTATATGAAGGAATGATACATGATAGCATAAATCATTTTGTGGCAACGTTTTCCTCTTGATACTTGATAGCATTTTAACTCAAGGTTTAAAGTGAAAATGATATGGGATATTCTTGTCTTAAAGGCTGCTTAGCATGTAAAGTCAGTAAAGTCTTGATTTGAAGTAATTTTGCACGATGCTGTCATTTTCAATATTGGTTCAAGCTGAAGAGGAATGTATATGATGAGTTCTGTCAGTTTCAAGTCTTAATTGTCAATTTTGGAGTCTTGTAATGTGGAGAATGATCACAACTTGACCTTAGCCTACTTTCTGGTCCAATCACAAATAAGCCTGCATTTACTCTATTCCCTAGAAATGTATTTTGAACTATTTGAATATCACCTCATGTCACCTTTCTACCATCAAACGTCCCCTCACTTTAATCATCCATACTTAACCTTTTGTTCCCTATATCAGCCCCCAATGTCAATAATGATACTGTACACCATCGAATGTGAGGTGTTTTTGTAGTCAATAATATTAATTATTTAAATAGAAATAATAGAGGAGGAAAACTGAAAATGTTTGTCGCTTTATTACGTTTCTTCTTATGGTAAGTTTTATACCCTACTCAGACTAGCATCGCATTGGGGCACACAATCACACCTAATCGCACCTAATCGCAATTCACAATTGTGTGCGAAAGCTCACCAATACAGTAGTAATCAATATCGTAATTGTTACCCCTTGCGATTTGGTGCTACAATCTTTATTACTCCTCGTTACCACGGAATCTGATTGCAATTAATCACATCTGAGCCTAGCCACCGTTCCAATATAAAGTGGGATTTGTTCTGAATGCGCTCATTGATTGCGATCGGGAGTAATCAGTTTTGGATTACCACTGATTACATCGCAACTGATCACAACAAAGTGTAGTCTGTATAGGTATTACTTAAGTAATGCACATTTTGGTGGAAATGGAAATACAAGTAGTTTGCCATAGTAAACTGTAAAGTTCATCTTCAAAATCATGTTTAGTAATTAGAGACAAGTTGAATGTTATTTTCAAATGTTGTTGATACATTTTCAATAGAGCCTTGAGCATTTTACTGATTGGTACCAGGTGAACAAAGTGAAGACATGTTACTATTTTTAATTATTAGGTTCATAATCTATGTCTTAGCTCAATATTCAGCATTGTTCTGTAATAACATACTGCACTTTAAAAGTCAAATTATTTTATACACTAGTTCCTCGAATATAAGCCCACCACCCATTACACATGAAATTGGTTCGAGTTTGGGGAGGGGGAATGCGGACTTATACCCGGGGAATCTACTATTCATAAAAAAAACCCTTTAAATTTATAGGGATAGCCAATCAGATAGCAAATTTTCAATGTAAATATTTATAAAAGTCAGCTGAACTAGTCATTCAAAACATACCCTGGGCTTATGCCCGAGTGAACACTGATATGTGAATTAGGATATAAAGTAGGGTGGCTTATACCTGAGATGTGGGCTTACACCTGGGGAACTATGGTAATACATAAACCTTAGAAGTTATAGTGAATGGTTTACTGATGGTGGACTAGTACAGCATAATGATAGAAAAACACATCATGGATGGTTTCCATTGAAATGTAAGTGTATGTACAGTACTTAGTATTTATACAATAATAGGTCAAAGCTCATGTGTCCTTCAATATATTCTTCAGTAATTATCAGTATTGTTGGTATTCAATGATGTTTCAATGATAATTTTGCAGTGTCATTGATGCTCATACATTTTCAATATATCTCTGCTCTACTTTGCCTACTGATTATAAATAAGAACAAACCAGAAGTATTGTGAGATATTATGAACAGCGTTCTGCAAACTTTGTAGTTTATGGCCTGTTTGAGATTCTACTAAGCCTTTCACCAGGGATCAACATACCAAAACCTGGAAAGAAGCTCTGATCATTAAACTTATTACCTCCATGTTCTTATGATACAACAGTTTACCATCATTATCTGTTCTACAGTATTAGTGAAAGTTTAACATGTGAAAATTTTGTGTATGAATTTGTATTCACTATCAATGAAGAAGTTTTACAAAAAAAACCAATCTTTGATTTTTTTTTCTCCTGGGCGACATTATGGCCCTCCAAAGGTGTGCGGCCTAAATAGTAGGCGGTTGGTCATTGTAGACAAGACTAGGTTATTTGATTATTCATGGTTAATACAAATATTTTGGAAAGGTTGTCTAGGTTTTAATTCCAAAGAGAAGTACAGTATAGGTATGGGAAGATATGGAAATAAAGTATACGGTACCCAATGACATGAGGCAACTGAGGCATGAGCTTTTTTTGGGGGAGGGAGGGCATGCACACCCTTGATAGAGACCAGCATGGGAGCTCCGGACCAAAATTCTTGACAAAGCTATTATCGTACTGGAGATGTCATGCTATAGTGAAATTATGCAGTGTATAATAGTCTTCCACATTAGACAAACATTAATAATTAATATTTTTTCAGACCATATTTTATGCAGGATAGCACATGTTTCATACAAAAAGTATGTGCTTGAATATAATCAGGAAACATTACACCTATTTTTTATATTAAGTATAAAATTTATAATTATACATAACTATAATCATAATTTGAAAAATGATATTTCAACATCAAAATATTCAGTACAGTGTATGACATACAGTTGAAGGAGAATGTGATAGCTCCGAGGCATAATTATGCGACTAGAGTACTGTAGTTGTACCCTGAGTGTACAGGCATCAAAGAAGAAATTGATGGATGAATGTATTATTATCAAATTGCTAAGACAGATTGACTCACATCAGCCTTGTCACTGAAACAGATTACCATTCTATGTCTCGCATGTCCATACATATTTTCTTACCAAGTTTCAGATCTTGTGTCATGTTCTTTTCATTTCCTGTTCAGCCAAGCATGATTAAATACTTGATTAATTTTATGTTTGTTGTTAAATGAATTTTATAAATTAATTGTGATCTACTTTGGGCATATGGGGGTAAACAATATAATCATAATGAAAATTATGATGACAAGTATTACATTGGGGAAATCTAAAGTATTGATTTAAGTTTTATTTATATAGTACATCATTTCTATTATTTTGTATTATATAATGTAATTTTTCATTCAAACTACATTATTAATTTTATTACGTGTAGTATTAATATAATTATCTATGTTCATTGTCAGTAATAATTTAAACCAAATAATAAGTTGTAAATAGATTCTTAAAAATTTGTTTAAAATTATTCCAAATCTGTTTAATTAGAAAAGTTTTATTAAAGTACAGTAGTTGAAATATTAAATGGAAATCTATATCTTAAAACTTTAATATTTATATTTTTTTCTTTGCAGGCTTAGAATGGAGTAATCCAGATATAGAACCTAATTATGTAAGTATAACGGGGCCAAGGTTGTATATTATGTAAACCCTTTTAAAATTTACTGTATATTAAATATTCAAAGTATGTAGTTATTTTTTTGTTGTCTTTTAATTTACAAAATTGAACAACTGTACTTTTTCTATCCTTGTTTAAATATTGTGTACTGCCTACGGTAAAATTGGAAAAAAAGCCTCAAAATGTAATTTAACAAATGAAATACCTAATTTAAAAGGATGATTATAAGTTAATTATTGCACTTTTAATGGAACACAGAAACAAAATTCTTTATTCATGATTTTTTACTGTATAAACACTGTATTAAGCTGATTACCTCCAATTTCAAAGGTCTATGCACAGTGGCATATATAGGTTTCTTGAAATAGGGAAAATGTGGTTGAAAAGGTGAAGTGGGGATTAATGATTGGTGATGTGATTTTTAACTATTTGAGTGTAATTTTTTGCTTCAAACATTTCCAATAGGGGGTTGAGTGGGAAGAGGGCAAGCTTTTTGGGGGGGGATGGGATAGCAGCTCTGTGCACTCCTAGATAGGCTGCTGTCTATACAATGAACAGTATTAGATGCATTTGTTCATCAAAAAAAATATTTGTGAAGTACTGGTACTGGCATATATAATGCACTACTTCCTTGCGGTTATAAAGCGCAGTTCCTTTCCCTGGTCATTGGGTCCAAATGCTAAGTGTTGCTGCTGGTAATCAGCGCAGGAGCAGGCAACCCCACCAGGTACCCATTCATACTCCTTGGTGGAGAGAAGCAATGCGGATAAAGTGTCTTGCTCAAGGACACAAGCGAAATGCACAGCGAGGGATAGAAACCCCGACCTCGAGGTTGGGAAACTAAACCATTCCCACTGCGCCAAACAGTAACTATACATCTTAATATTTTGAAATTACTGCAACTCCAATATTAGTTTTTTTTTTTTTTTTTTGTCTTTTAAAAGTGTCCTGAAGGAAGTTGGGATCTGAATTCAAACGATGCAGATCCGTCACCTGAGTCCTCTGATGATGGGACAAAGAACCGTCATGGAACGCGCTGCGCCGGAGAAATTGCAGCCGCCGCAAATGACTTCTGTGCAGTAGGAGTTGCATTTAATTCTCGCATTTCAGGTTGGTACCATACTATAGCTTTCTGCTTTCAAGGGTCAGAAAGCAGTTGAGTTTATTTGTGGATGAGTAATGAAGTTCTGGTCGATAAATATCTAAGAATGTCAAAGTGGTTTACTGTACATGTGACCTCCAGGCATCTAATACAATACTTAATATGTGCTATGTGCAATCTCAACTCTCTTAGGACTATTTCTCGTTTATTATGGGAATTCAGTACAGTTCCCTTGGAAATGTGACTACCATAGTTGTTTTATCAGCGCATACTTTAATCAAACATTAAAGCATATTTAAAGATATTTATTAGTTGCTAGTTACTATTGTGGAAATAGACACTTTAGCAAATATTGCAGATGAGACCATTAAAAATAACATTGTTATATTACTTGTAAAAGTCCTTGTTTCATCTTAATGTTTTAAATTCAGATAAATCTATATTGTTACAGCAGTTTCAGTCAGCAATATTTCTGCTGCCTGTTTTTTTACACCTCTAAAGTTCTTAATTATGAAGTTGAGCTGTTGAGAGAAGGAAAATAACTGAAATTAGAAAACCTAGTTTAACTATTCTAATAAGTAAATTGGATATTTTTCAGATTATAAGTAGTACATCTATATTTCATTATTAATTAATGATTTATCCATACTTAATTATTGATAAATTGAATATTAATTCAATCCAATAATGGGTTCTAAGGCACGATACTTTTTTTTTATTAGTGTATGTCTTCTATGGTATTGGAAAAATTGGGGAAAAAAAATCAGTAAAAAACATTTAACGTAGTAAATAGTTGTTGTATCACAATCGTGTATTTTACTTTGAATAGTTACTTTGAATACTTAATTATTGATAAATTGAATATTAATTCAATCCAATAATGGGTTCTAAGGCACGATACTTTTTTTTTTTTTGAATACTTAATTATTGATAAATTGAATATTAATTCAATCCAATAATGGGTTCTAAGGCACGATACTTTTTTTTTATTAGTGTATGTCTTCTATGGTATTGGAAAAATTGGGGAAAAAAAATCAGTAAAAAACATTTAACGTAGTAAATAGTTGTTGTATCACAATCGTGTATTTTACTTTGAATATCATTGTACCAGAAAACAACCCAAGGAGGATATTGGCATAGCAAATAACAATTTCCCAAGGTCAATTTGGAATGTTTTAAACGTGCTTTTAGTTATCTTTGTCCTAATTTTTATAATAATTTACCAATTGACTCCACACAGACATGTTGAAATGATGAAGATGATGCTATAACATTAACAACAGGTCAGCGAATGCATTTGTTTTTGTAAAACTGGACAGGCTTATGGTTTTCGCGCGTGTTGAATTGAATTTATGTTGACCGCCAGACGGTAGAGTCATTAAAACATGATTAATGGTCGCGATAATGGCCTTTGACAGCGATACACGGTTCTATAACCCTAAATTTGGTGGTCAGAATAGGCGAGTGTGTTCCAGATGTTTTTTACATCTTACCCCCATTCGAGCCACACACGGCATTTAACTTCCGTGTAAATACACGGACCTCGCACGGATATTTTTCTGGCTCGAACGCACCCCTAGACATCGTATCGTATTGGATAATAGACCTTCATGTAAAGAAATCAGAGAAGAGTTACAATAAATCTTCTTTGAGAATCAAGGAGCTCTTTCCCTCTCCACAGAGTTTTGCAAAATCTGTTAAAATTGGTAATGTTTTTTGAAGGAGGGGCTGGCTCGGTTAAGGAAAAAATGTTATTTTCTTGGTTGGTAATTTTGAGCGTTTTTAGAGGACCGTAACTTCAAAAATAACAGAAAATATCAGATTTTTACTAATCCTCTATATGTATGTAGTTTTATGTGTATTTTCCTTGGGTCATTTTCTTTTGAAGTGACTTTTGCCATTATGTTTAGCCAAAAAAAACTTTTATTTATGTGAAGCGTATTCCGTACAAAATTCTAATAAATGAATAATTCACTAAGTGAATGAATGAATAATTAAATTAATGAATCAGTGGAGTGAATGATTGATTTTATGATTCATTGATTAACTTAATGAGCGATAATATTGAAGAAAACAATAAAAAACATAGCTGTTGAATTCAACCATTATTTAATACTGCTTAAATATTTTGTAGATAGCTAACACACATTAAACCATATTTCCTATAAATACCTTGTTGTAGTGTGACTGGCATATTAGGAAGCTTTCAATTGCACGACGACAGTAGCACGTAGAACATAATGACATCAGTAAAAGTCATCTGCGTATGCGAGAACTTTAGGTCACCTTGCGAGTAGATTCTGGAACGCAATTTGGCCAAATCTACGTATACAGAGAACGTAGGACGACAGGTAGGACGGTCACACATGAGCGATTCCGTTCTAGCATCGCGTCGTCACAAAAATCGAAAGCTTATTATACTTCCTTTGTCAATTGGAATGCTATGACCTTTTGAAGTGCTGACCTTTGCCAGTGTTACGACAAGAGAGAAAAAGGAAAGAAAAGATAAGGAAATATAAGAAAGAAAGGAAAGAAAAGACAAGGAAGCATAAGAAAGAAAAAGAAAGAAAAAAAAATAGACAACAATGAATTGTAAGAAAGGAAACATAAGAAAGAAAAAGAAGAGAAGCAACAAAAGATTATTTTGTTTCCTAGGCACCTTGCATTGGAAAAAAAAACGAATGAAAAGAAAATGCATTAATGGAAATAAATTTCAACAATGAGTGAAGAAATGGGATGAATGACCAATGTCATATGATGCAAAATCCACCAATCAAATGACATGGATCTATTTAGGTGTGTTATAATAAATTTTACCACATGGAGACTTTTGGATCTTTCCTTGTAATGGGAAGTCTTATGTTTAGGATTTTGAAATGTAGTTTTAAAAAAAAAACCTGATTATAAATGAATTCTAATACTAATAGTAGTAAGTAAATACTTTTGAAAAATAATTGACTTATAATTCAAGAGAGCTGAAAACGTTCCAGTTCAGTGCTTTTCATATACCGACGCTATATAAATGTCCTATTCTATTCTATAATTACAGAATCAAGTATTGTAATATTGTCTTTAATAAAATTATAAAATACATGTTGAGATATATTTATAAATGGATGCTTACACATCAACATTATTTAAAACCATTATTTTGTCAATGGATTATATAGTATAACGCGCTAATTAGCATTATCATTTGATGATGATGATAATGTTGATGCCGATGGTAATGGAAATGATAACAGTTGCGGAAGTTGAGTGAAGGCATTTTTGGAATCAAGAATGTGGTTTTTTTTTATAGCAGGCCATAATTTCCTTGGGCCATTTTTACCATTTGGGCCATTTTTACCACTGAATTTAGGATTATAAATTTTGACAACCACTATAATTCTACTACTACTACTGCCTTAATAAAAACCACGGCTTCATTGTTTGTATAATTCTAGCCTTGGTTTTTCATTCAGATGTTAAAATCAGTATGAATGTTGACTTTCCTATCACTTGAAGACTTTGAACTGGTGCTTAGCGATGTTACTGTAAAGATAACACAATTTAGTAATCACATTGTCAGTTAACTTGTTCATACAAGATAATTATCCCGTGCTGTCGTTTTCCCATAGAAGAATGAGAATTTTGGCTTTAAGTTGTGATCCTTTGGCATAATAATTACTGAATGGTATTCTTGGCAGGACAAAAACATTACAAATGAATTTAAATACTTGACCACAAGCAAAAAAAATAAAATATACATTAAGGATATACAATATTAAAAATAAATAAAACAAATAAAAAGATAATGACAAAGCTGTACAAACTTAGGAAAATCCTTACTTATCAATTTCCAATTAAATTTCCGATATTTCCTAACATTTCATAGATTTAATTATCAAAATATTGATGTTTCTGTGTCAATTTCTTTCTAAAATGGAAATATCAATGAGTTATATTGAGTCAAGTGGTCCGATATCTAGCTAGCCAGCTGAGCCTGGGCCTAGGATGGGGAGTCTGCATACAACACACCATACTGTACTATATACATGTAATTCTCAAGTGAAGAGGCCCTCTAATGGGCCTCTTCAAATCTGGTGTTCATGTCACAGCTTCACACATGCGCAACGCTAGGACAGTCTATATTCCTGATGATGACATAATTAATGTCGAAATATTGAATCCCAACACGATGGCGTGTATTTCAATACTTGGAGTATGTATTATACTTTCTTATCTGAGATTAATCAGTGGACCTTTCGGTTTTTAAAATCCAATAGTTCAAACTTAGGGTATATTTAGAAACCCAATTATTATTTACCATGAGATTGGAAATAGGTTTTTGCATTAAAAGATACAAATGCTGCAATTTTAAGGTGTTTTACATTAACATAGTCATATTTGATCATGCAATGATTGATTATTACTGCTATCAACTGATTTGTTTTGATTTTATGCCCAACAGAATTTGCTGACTAATTGGTGAATTGCTCATATGACAGGATCAATATGTGTTTGTCAGTAATTAGCATTAGAATGTGACAGTACTGTATACTTAGTACTTAGAAGCTGTAATACGGCATTTACTCAAAACTTGGGTCATAGTTAATCGATTCCAGCAATCGACCTGGCCATCATTTTGAAGCATTAAGAATATACAGTGTCTGCTATTTTTTTGTTATGGCTGCTGGTTTTGATATGACATGCCTCAAATTTTATCAACTTATGATTTAGGATGTAGTTACCCTAGAGTGGAGGCGGTTTGCCACTGTGGAAATGGTTTGGTTTCCCAACATTAAGTCGGGGTTTCAATCCTTCACTGTGCATTTCGCTTGTATCCTTTATCAAGGCATATATTTTATCTACATTTGCTTCAGTCCACCCACCTGTATTAATGGGTACGAGAAAATATCTGGGAGTAAACTGCGGGAAACCAGTGTACCAGAAAGGGGGAGCATCACGCTTGCATTTGCTTCATGCTACTTGAAATTGGGGATAAGATCCAGCCCATATTTAGCCCCCTGGCTCAGCAAGGATTGATCCTACTTATTTATATAACAATGTGTAAAGGGGGACAAAATCCTGGATATTAATAGTGATTCTTCAATGCAAGCGAAACAAGTCTGAAACTACTAAGGTACAGTATTATGTAACTAAAGGTGATGATTGTTATGTGACACTCGACTGACCTAATTCTTAAATCACATAAATTTTTTACCTTAAACTCTGTATAAAATAACAAGTATTATGTTAAAATAATGTGTGATTTACCCTTATGACCACAATATTGGCTGTAGACATTCCTATAGGCATTTCACACTAGCAGAAAATATTACAACTTTTAACAATTATTAACAAGTTGTAACAAGTTTGATATTCCGAGATTTTTGGTTCGTTTCACACATGCACTTTCAAACCATGAGAAATCTTGGGAAAACTCGGAAGAATAATGACTAGGCCTAGGGTAGTACTAGTAGTAGTAGGCCTAGGCTAGTTGTAGGTTTTCTGAATTACATATCAACTACTGTACTAAACTAGGGCTGGTACCGAATTAACAAGATTATAATTATTCCATGGTCCTTAGCTTTCGGAGAGTAAAACGAATTCAACTCCTAGCTCGCTTGCTGTAGTCGAGCTGGAGAGGAAGATAGGCCTAGGCTAGCTAGGCGCAGTCGGGCCGTCGGCCGGTAGCTCACCATTGTTGTTAGAGAAGAGGCAATCAGTGCGACAAGCATCATAATGATTCGCTGTCAGCGTATTTTACGAAGCCTCGTGATTGTTTCTACATCAGACATGTGAAATTTAGCGAGATTTCTTTTGATTTTAGGTCTAGGCCTATTAACAAATGGTAGTAATATTGATACATTTTCCATCGCTGCCACCATTCGTTCGAACTAAACAAAAAAAAAAATACAGCCCGCGAAAAGGTCAAAATATGGACATGACGCATGTGCAACAAAACTCGAAAGATTTTTGGAAAAAAACAGGCCTCGTGATGGTCTGTTTTTGTTCCGAGATAACTCAGGGGACCCCTGTGAAATCTCGGAAAGTTTTACAAGGATTTGCTTTCACACTCATCCAAACCTGGTTACAACTTGTTACAAAATAGCATCAGTGTGAAATGGGTATTAGTCTCTTTGGACGTCTCTTAAACTACCACAAGAAAGCAAAAATCTTGCAAAAACTGACTCGTATTCCGACGCATTCGGGCCCATAGCAAGGTCCTTCCAAGGGGAGGTTCTCTGGGAGTGAGGTGAGGCCAGAGGTATTTTTGTGTTCTGTGAGTCTAAATAATGCTGTAATAATAGCAGTTATGTTTGAAAAAGGTCTGCAGCAAAATATTATGTCTGAGTCTGAGTGGGTCTGAAGTGCATTAGTTGGGTTGGAGGACTCATTCAGGAAATTTGAGGGGGTGGGGGTGGGGTTTGCCAGAAAGAGTTGGATTCACTAGAAAATGTAATCACATTATCTAAGCAATAGAAATTAAAACATATTTAGAAGCTGAATACGTTCTATTATTTTGATCAACTGCCAAAAAATTTTCAAAATAAAAGAAGGAATTGAATCACCAACAAAATTGTTTTGGTAAAAAAAATATACTTCTTCAATACAATTTATATATTTTTTCTTTTTATGCTCACTATTATTTTTTTAATAATTTAGGCCAATTAAATAACCAATTGTGTTTTCAAAGACAATTTTCTTCCTTTAATTTATAAATCGTAAATATTAGGAAAACTTTATTAGCAAATAATTTTTTTGTCTAATATTTTAAAGGATATCGTACTTTAGTAATGGTGACCTTGATATTCTCATTTATGAAATGCAATAAGCATCAATTAAATTGGCCTTTATCGATATTAATATTATAGTATTAATTTATTATTATTAAAAATGTATTACAGTGTTATCTTCTTAAAACCACAATCATTATTGTGTTCTTAAACCCTTTCTCTAGGTCTATTACAACTTGTTAAAATCTCTATAGTACAAACTGTATGATGATATTTTTTCCAATATATATTTTCGTATTTTATATTCACAAATGTTCGCAAGGCATGATTCAGCTATGATTAATCAATAAGAGAAGACGATGATTTTCTCGGATTTAAATTTGGCTTCAAAAGGAAGTGACATAATTTGTAGGGGTATCAGAAACACATGAATATTTTAGCAACAGAAATGAAATATTATATACAGAATATCTTCACATCAATCAACAAATTGAAAAAACGCAATACATTTTCCAATGTTTCATCGATGATTTCATCCAGTAGAAATTTATTTCAGGGCTTAGTGTGTCTATATATCATAGTCGTACTGTCAGGTTTGGTTTTGTTCTCAGAATAGATCATTTTGTTCAGTTTTTACAGTATAGGCATTTACTTTCCCCATAATAGTGTAATTATTAATAATGTACTCAAAATGAAACTGACTGAAACTAGGCGCCTTCTATGGAACATGGTACTTAAGAAAAATTTATGGTGGTACAGTCTGGCTGTAAGGTAAATCCATGTTGAGTGTAGATACTGTAATTTCACCTTCAGTTACAGATTGCAGGGTCATCGTGAGGATCAGTTCAGCGTCAGGATTTCATCATCAGTAAATGATACTCTTCATCACTTACCTGTATTTTAAAGCGATACTATATATAAAAATCTGGGGAAGAAAACCTAATAATTAAATGGAATGACAACATTAATTGATATATTTTGGTGTAGCTAGACAATGTATTACTACATTGCTCTTCTGTTATCAAATCCTTACCAGTTGTATCTTGTTGATGTATTTACAAAATATCATAAACAGACTTCTATTTCATCTCTACCTTTCCATTTCTGCATATCATTTTCAAATGTACATTTGTAAAAGCTTTTTCTAGTGGCTGTTACTACACATCTCTACAATTGTAGAAGCAAATTGTGTTGAAGATTTTTAAATACATGACTTAAAATTTAAATTTTTAGTCATTTGATAAAATTAATTTTAGAATGCATACATTACCTACAGTCAATTTCATTACCGTCAAAATATTTTTTATTTTTTTTTATAAGTTTATAGTTAAAATGATGTATAGTTTTTAATTTGTCCTTGATTTGATGAAAGAGTATTTGAGTGTCATTGACAATATCTTGATATCTTAAATCCTCATTTGCATATAGGTGTCCTGTTATTAAATGGACCAATGACTGACAGTTTTTAACATGTAATTTATTTGATAAAAATTGATTTGAGTACGATTGACAATTAATCTATATCTTGATATCTTATATCCTCATTTTCATACAAGTGTCCTGTTGTTAAATGGACCAATGACTGACAATTTTTAATGAGTAATTTATTTGATGAAAATTTATTTTAGTGTGAATGACAATTAATCTATATCTTAATATCTTGAATCCTCATTTGCATACAGGTGTCAGGTTATTAGATGGACCGATGACTGACAGTCTGGAAGCCACAGCGTTTAACAAATTTATGCAGACTAATGATATATACAGCTGTAGGTAAGTAATTATGCAGTACTCGTTGACAACCAATGAGTTTTTCTTTGCGTAAGAATCCATATTGCAAACAATCATCAAAAGTGAAATATGTAGTTTCCATAAGCGTATAACAATATCTGCAAGTGAAAGTCAAACATAATTATCATAAGCTATTTTGTGTGTGCATCTGTCAGTGTTGAGAGGTTGTTATAATCATGGCATATGTTATAGTACATAATGTTTGTCAGACAAAATCGAATATTTAATTTATCAGATGTTGTATTCTGATTTCTTACACATGATCAAACAATTATGGGGCTTGCCATGCCAAAATTAGCATCAGTGACTTAAAACAAGAAAATCGACTTTTGAGTATTACATATTCTCCACATTAAAAGCTTTAGAATGATGGCTCATTAACTGGGATCGGCTTCATATTGCCAAAGTTATGAATTTAAATTAAAAGTATTATTGCAGCTTCTCTGTACTAAAGTATACAGTACTGCTACATTCATATGTTACATGATGAATAAAAAGTGTAGCCACGTTAGTCTGTTATAGAACAATACAAAGTAAATGAGAGCAGCACTAACAATACAGAATTTATTCTCTAGCCTTCGTCCACACAGTGGACATTATCAGGAGACTGAGTCAGACTCTCCTGATGAAGTCCACTGTGTGGACGAAAGCTAGAGAATAAATTCTTTAATGTTAGTCTCAAAAGTGCTGTCATTTAATATAAGTTAAGATAAGATAAGATACACTTTATTGCTCCAAGTAGGAAATTCAGTTCTCGCCTTAAAATACAATTGGCAGTAAAAAATTAAAACAATGATCAAATATAATAAAATGTAATAATTACAATGTAACAGATATCAAACCACGACCATTAAAACATTAAAAGTCACCAAAACATTATTATTATTATTATTATTATTATTATTATTGTTATTACTATTATTATTATTATTATTATTTATATTATATTATTCTTATGCTAATTACTCAATTTAACATTTAGTGACAGTATGCTGGTTTTGGAATGGCAAGCCTCTTATATGGTCGTAATGTGATGTCATCATGACCATATTTAGACATTTCACATGTTTTTGTCAAATAAAATTTGATAGTCTGGACAGGACTTTACAGACAATATTTCGTCTATCTGATTTTGTATTCTGATATCTGACAATTTGATCAAACAAATAGTATGTCTCAATATTTTGCTGAAAATCAATGTTCTACTTCGTTAGTCAGTCTGATCAAACATTTTTACTATTACAAAAACATGTGACATGCCTAAATAAGGTCAGGATGACATCACATCATGACCATATATAGGCACATTATGACTAAATATGAGCTTATAACAATTTTTTGTCCAAGAAAATTTGATAGTCTGATCAGAGCTTTAGATTTAGAGAAGCATGTAGTATTTCAATCTATTTCATCAGACAAAGTTTCATCAAACATTTTTCAATTTGACAGACACAAAATTAATAGTGGATACCCTTTAGATTTTAGAGAAGCTTGTACACGATGCAATTACTTACCCAGTTCAATGGCTGCATAAATAATCATAGAGACTTGTAACTGTCTCTTTGCTTTATTCCTGTCATGTGTAATAATGCAACACAGAGTGAGATAATAAAACTAAACGATTGCCTATACGTACTGCTAGGCACCAATTTGTGCACCTTATTGAAGAATGAGACCATAAATAATGGAAAGTAGGCCAAGTTACATGCCTTTGCTTAGTGAAAGCATAATGCTTTTTTTTATTGGAACAAACCAAGCTTTATTAATGCTTAATGGATTAAAATGTATTTTAAAAGAAACTATTTATAGGATTAAACTTACTCATCAGATTTTGTTATTTACTTTTTATTATTCATTATGTCAGGCAATGACCCATCCAACTAATCAACCATTAGTCAATCAGTCATTTAAATCAATCAATCAATTTAATTAATCTATTAGAATGAATAAATAAATGAATTGATTATCCAATCATTCTGCCAATCTTCAATCTTCTGTTTTTCAAATTCAAATGATAATTTTATTTCTATTTATCAGAATTTAAGACAATACAAATCGTAAAATGATTCAAGACAATACAAAATTGAAAAATAATTAATAACAATACACAACGATAAATGGAAAAGCTGTATTCAGAGCAAACAAGAGCTTTAAGAATGAACATCCCTAACAATACATAAAAACAAAACTAACAAACTTAAACTTGACTGATTTATATTATTGATAATCAATCTGTCATCAGTCTAATCAGTTAATCAATCATCTAATGAATGAATGAATAAATCAATCAATCAATGAATCAATCAAGTAATGAATGAATGAATGAATCAATCAATCAATCATATCTATCAATCAATAATCTAATGATAAATCAATCAATCAATCATCATCCATCAAATTATTTAATCAATCTGTCATTTAGGTTATGCTCACTATTATGCCATACTTATCTGTAGAGATATATTAATATTAATTGAATCATTTTTTATTTTCAGTTGGGGTCCAGATGATGATGGCAAAACCATTGATGGTCCGCATCCATTAGCTCAGGTTTGATATTTTTATTCATCTTATCTTTAGCTGAACCACAGTTTTTGATTTAACAAAAAAACAACTGATATAACCACATGTGACACAGCAGTTTGGCATTCTGCTGGCAATCAAAAATTTAATGGTTCAAGCCTCAGGCTTGAAAATTGTTAGACAATTTATCCACATCACTTCTTCAATTCTTGAAAATAGGGAGCTCTGGATTATACTTTACTCACTAAGATTCATCTGCGCAAGCAAAAATGTTAAGTTATGCTCGTCGCGTGGATTCTAGGGCGCAATTTGGCCAAACCTACGTATGCAGAGAATGGACATCCGGTAGGATGGTTACGCATGAGTGATTCCATTCTATCGTCGCCGAACAAAATATGTCGCTTACAAAATAAATTGATTTGAGGGGGTTTTTAACTACTTAAGTTTAATTTTTTTGCTTTAAACATTTTCAATGGGGGAGGGCAACTGGGATTTAGTTTTTTTTTTTTTTTTTTTTTTTTTGGGAGGGGGACAAGTCCTGTCCATGCTCCACCTTGTTTTAATGCCAGTGCACATATTAGTAGCTCTAATATTGTACAGTGTTTCCTCTGATAGCAGAATATATGTTTCAAAGTGTGGTTGATTCAGTGGTCGATAATGTAATAATATAAAGTGCATAACTCTTGGCAAATGCCATCATATTATTTTTATTACTTTTTTTACATCATGACATTTGCATATAGAGCATATACTGTAGAATTTAAATCCATTGTTACACCATAATGTGTACATACAACAATAGACTTGGATTTTCTACAGATCTATTAGATTTGTATGTATTCAGATCTTGCAAAAATACATTAATACTATTAATTTTACATGCAACAATACACTTAGATTTTGCCAATTTCATTATAAAATATTTGTTCAGCTGTAGTTGTCATTATAATATAGTAGAGTTGCATTTGAAGGTGATTTGGTTTTATTCATATCTAGTTATGTAATTATGGACAGCAATATTATAGGGATATTGCTAAGGTACAAGTTTGCTGGTGATGTTTTATTGCCGCCAATGGCGAAGGTGGACAGTGCCACCCAGGCTTGAAGTTTTCAACCCAGTCAAAGCTAATTTCATATACCTCCGTCCACTGCTGATAACTGTCTTGCCCATCCTTAATGTTTACCAATGTTATCACCCACCTACCCTTAAAATTTTTTTACAGCTACAAACCTAATGATATTGGTGAACTGAGCCTTTTCTGTTCCCTACGAGTTATACCTAGTATACTAAATGTACCTGGTAATGCTCTATTGGAATGCACTCGCGCTAATATATCTAATTTTATATACCGCATACGTAGATTCTTGCTACCTGATTGGTTAAGAAGCAGGCAATAGAAAGTACTATCACCCTAAATGATAGCACTTATTTACCCTGTCGCATGATGTGCAATCTATAGGCCGCGTTGCTATGTAATTTATGATACCACGAACGGTAAAGGAGACTATCTGAAATCTATAGCCCCTTGGTGATGTGGAGACCGTAGCCTATCTTCACATCACATCGGGGCAATAGATTTCACCATTACCTTCATGAACAGTCAATTATATACTATAACATTCTACCAGGTATGCATTTATGTTCTTAAGTCAAGAGAGAAACAAACATAGATAAAGTGCTTTACCCAACACACAAATATAATGTACAAAAAAGTGTGAACTTCCGACCTCTAGGGTGAGAAGCAACCTATCAACCAACAACAAAACCAAACATAAGAGATACTTTTGTTTTGATACTTCCATATCATTTTGTTATATACATGACTTCAGAATTGTCGGTATTGTTTGAAGTAATGCAATATGTATAGATATGCTATCATTGAAAACAAGTAACATCACCAGAGCTTTAAACATGTGATATTTATATCATTGCTGTTATTGTTATTTCACAAATAAATAACATAATGCAGGAAACTCCTTTATACTGCAAACTAATCATCCAAACAAATTTATGAATCAATAAAACACAGGCTTATGAGATGAAATTTTATAATTTACTTCTAGAAATTCATTTTTTCATGCACTGTAATTTCATTTTGTATTGTATATGATATTTTGGCCGGAGGCCTTTTGATCCAATAATGATCTTTGGTCTTTCTTCAAGGGAAAAGAATGAAATATGTGTTTTCCGATCAGAGAAACTAAACTTGTCAAATATCATTTTGTTTATATAAAGACTGCCCTCAAGCATGGAGTCTCTGTTGGCAGAAAGGGATACGGTTCGATATTTGTAGTGGCAAGCGGGAATGGCGGCAAGAACAAAGATAACTGTAATTTTGACGGCTATGCTAATTCCATATATACTGTTACAATTGGTAAGATTAATAATTTTATTTTTAAACTTTAATGCTATCTCCAATTACTGTATGTATCAGTTAATTTAAATGATTGGTGTTTCGTACTTTAATTCCAATCCTAGGTTCCTGAGTTTAATAAATTCCTGTCCAGACTCAAAATTTTATTTGACTAGAACATGTGACATGCCTAAATATGGTCATGATGACATCACATCATGACCATATATAGGCACATCATGACTATATATGGGCATACAACAGTTTTTTTCATCAAAGAAAATGTTATAGTGTGGACAGAGCTTTATATAAATAGCTTGAATAATATTAATATATTATCGAATAATATTAATATATTATCGAATAATCATGAATAATATTAATATATTATTAAATAATATTAATATATCATGGAATAATATTAATATATTATCGAATAATTTTAATATATCATGGAATAATATTAATATATTATCAAATAATATTAATATATTATGGAATAATATTTATATAATATCGAATAATATTAATATATTATCAAATAATATTAATATATTATCGAATAATATTAATATATCATGGAATAATATTAATATATTATTGAATAATATTAATATATTATGGAATAATATTTATATAATATCGAATAATATTAATATATTATGGAATAATATTAATATATTATAGACTAATATTTACGTTTTTCACATGTTGTGTTTACTGGCCTGCTGTTTTCGAAGTTTAAAATATTCCACACTTCAGTTTGCTTATGAGATAACAATAGAAGTTATACAAAGGAATTGGTTTTAGTAATATTTAATATTTTCCCTCTAAATTTTAGAATACATGAATTAATTTCAAATCAATTTCTTTGTCTAAACAACCCAAATTGAATCTTGTGAATGATACAAAGCTAAAATAAATTACCATATTAATTTTGTGATGCAAGCATTTTATAAACAGTGACACATTTGTGTTAATAACTGATTTCTCCCATAATTCTTTGCAGGTGCTATTGATGAGAGGGGTCGCATGCCATATTACGCAGAGGAATGTGCGGCTATGCTTGCTGTCACGTTTAGCAGCGGAAGTGGAAATCTCAGGAGCATAGTAAGAACAAATTTGGACTAAATATGTTATTGATCTCGTATTAAGTAGTCATATAACAGTGAATAGAGGGATAAGTCTCCAAGGCAATATGTACATTGGACGCAAAATTCTTTCTTTAGAATGTAATCAATAATAATATAATCAGAATTAGATTTTAATAAGCTCTCTATTATTTATTAATTCAATTTTCTACTGTACAGTAGTATTTTATCTAAACTTTGTTTATTAAAAAAAAACTTTTGAGTTTACTTAAAGTATAGGAAATTCCCCTTCACATAAACCTGGTTACTGGCCTGTAATACTATTGTAAATTCTGGTAAAACCTCTAAACTTTAATTTAACCATTCTAATGATACACCGATTGAAACACAACCTTTTTCTGACTTATAGACCTGTTACACCATGGATATCCATGAATTGTTATGATTATAATATTATAATTATTATTAATATAATTATATATTATATTATTATATATTGTATTATTATAATAATTATATATTATCAATAATAATATTATTATTATTATTATTGATGATTATTTTCTGAGTGCAGAATTTTGTGTCCAATGTACATATTGCCATAGTGACTTACCCCTCTATTCATTGTTAAGTGGAGTTGAAAAACTTGGTGGCTAATATGTTTGCCTTCAAATTTTTTCTCATGACCAAAGCAACTCCACTCCCTAAACCTCATATTGAGATTTAGTTTATGTAAAGCATCGTGTATGTATCTTTTTTTTTGTGTAAGGGGTGTTACCTACAAGTGGAAAGTGATATATTCGCTATTGACAATCCTTGGCATATATGTTGTGTGCCTAAATATATAATAATAATAATAATAATAATAATAATAATAATAAACCTGTTAAGAAAGGATAGGAACTATATTGTTTATTGTTTACTTTCAAGATGCTGTATAGTAAATCTTAAGAACTATGCATCGTACTACTTTATAGTATAGTGTAGTATTTGCTAACAATAAATCGATGACGAAAAACCTTTAATAGAAGCCCAATGGGCTTAATTTAAGAAGAAGCCCGTCTCAAATTGAAGCCCCCTCTTTAGTTTGCAAAAGTAGCCTCGAAAAGAAACCCATCTCTCAAAGAATCCTATTGACTTCTTTTCAAGATAGCATTGGCTTCTTTTTTCTTTTTTTTTGAGATAGTGCAATACATACACTGTACATAAATTTCAAAGAAACAAAAAAAAAAAACATGCTTGGTTTATACAGTAGTTTAGGTGATTTAATGTCACTTAATACACTCCATGACGCATATTGATGTTGCAGTGCCCTATTTATTGTTACATAATGGGAATTCTGAATATTTCAGCATTCATTTTGAAAAGAGGCTCCCTCTTTACTTTGCAAAAGTAGTCTCGAAAAGAAGCCCATCCAAAGTTTGCTAAAAAACAGAAGCCCAGGGCTTCAATTCAAGGTTTTACGGTATTTACATAATTTCTGTCAGAACATATTCTTTAGGATGTGATGTCACTAGTGTGACGTCAAGGAGTTGTCACAGTCAACATCTGGTGGCATCAGATCCTGATAAGATGTTCTGACAAAAAAAAAAAAAAAAGTTTAATCATGCAAGTTAATACTAGATTTATCTCAAGAAATAAATCAATTCATTACAGAAGTCAAATGAAACTTTTCCAGAAGTACAGCATTATGATTATCACATATTTTTAACAAATATTTTATATATTATAAAATTATATTTTGATATTATTAATTATGTATGCATTTAAAGTTTTTGTTAATACTATTTTGTTAATAATAGTATATGAATCGTCTTTGTATTTTAGGTTACCACTGATTGGACATCTGCTCAGGGGAATGGCTGTACAAACGCACACACTGGAACGTCAGCTGCTGCACCCCTGGCTGCCGGAATTATTGGCTTAATGTTGCAAGCTAGGCATTGCCTCACATGGCGAGATATTCAACACATTATAGTCTTTACATCAGTGAAGGTAACAAAGCATGTTTATTGCATCGGTGTGAATGTCTTTAATTTATCTACACATATTTTTTCCATGTCTAACAGGGCTTGTTCAGGGTGCCAAAAACTGACTCCATGTTTATAATCTCTGTGTTAAATATCTGTAGTTAAGTTGTTCTGTAGTTAAGGTGTTCTGTAGTTTTTCCCCCGAAAAGTCGCACCTCCTTACACTTGGGGTAGCGCCGCCAACTTAGCAGTGCACGGTAGGGGAGCCATAGGCTTTTCCTTGGTGGAAGCTACCGGAGCCCACAAACTGACGCCGAGCTACCTGCGTGTACACGGTAGTTATGACGACGCTATCTCAAAATCGGGGGTTCGCATTCCCCCCCTTTCGCGTTCTTTTGTCTTTGTTTCTTGTGGCTTCATAAGCGCCTTGAGACGGTTTTCTGTGGAAGGTGCTATATAAATATATGACTATTGACCATATGTGTCAGACATTAGTTTTTTTTAGATTGCATGTAAACTCGCTTACAGTGGTAGTCGGAACACAAATTCTCGCCCTTGTAGTAAAAGAAAGAACTCAGAAATAGTGACCTAAAAATATGTACCATACATTTGTTCGTATTTCATTATAGTTCATGGGAATGATGTTCATTATGGTGGTACCTTCTATGCCTAGACATTATGGGCAACGACTAGGAAATGCTTGGCAGCCAACATGTTAAATGCTTTTATCATGAATTTATAATCATTTATACCACACTTTACACTTTTGCCAAATTTGAACATTTTTGATAACCTGGCCACCACCAATGGAGGACATCATCATTTCACTTAGTTACCAATGTTTATCTGAGGCTGGTACATGGCTTTCTTTCTTGTTGTAGCCTCATCTTTGAAGACAAAAAGCCAAAAAAAAAAAATAGCCTCATCTTTGAAGACAAAAAGCCAAAAAAAAAAAAAAAAAAAGAAAGAAAATAACATTGCATAAGACATGCATTGTTTTTGGTTGATTTAAGATTGATGCTCTGCTGGTTGTCTCCCAGTGAAAAGTTGGTGGCACTGTTTCAAAATATGCCCATTAAAAATTAATGGTGTATTTCCAATGGACTCACAGTGCCGAATCCATATCAACAGTCTTGCATACAATGGTTTATTTGAAAATAATTTTTCTCCCAAATATTTCATTTTCAGGTTGATGAGGCAAATGCAGATTGGTTCATCAATCGAGCTGGTTTTCATCATTCCCACAAACACGGCTTCGGGCTACTCAATGCCTGGCGTCTAGTAAATGCTGCACGGGTCTGGCCACCCGTCCCCTGGATGACAGCTATCTCTTCCTCTTCGCAACGTGTTAACATCAAAATCCCCGCAAAAGGGAAAGTAACACAGACATATCTTGGTAAGAAAATAAAAATATTTCTGATCAATTTAAATTTTTTTTTTAATGATTTTTTTATTGTAAGTTCAAAACAATAAACAATGCTGATGCCATGTCATTGTTATTTTCTATGTTTTCTGACATCAGTAAAAACAATCATATATAAAGTTTTTAAACATCTACTCCAGGGCTTGCATTTGCTGGAAGGAAATCCTACAGTATGCGACAGTCAGGTACTAGTACTAGATTGATGAGCTATGAGACAAAAAATTGAACTAATATGGCCTAATAATATTGATATTTACAGAATTATTTATTATTATTTAAAAACAAAGGAACCAAGGAAAGCTCACAAAGGATGGCATAAAACGATCTTACTCCAGGGAGATCCTTATAAATATAAAATACAAATAATTAAAGCATAATTCTTTAAAGCTTTAAAAGAGAAAAAGAAAGATGAAGATAATGACAGTGGTGATGTGGAAGGTAATGTTGATTATGATTACAATGATGATAATGATGGTAATGATGAAAATATTAATTCTGACCTAAATTTGTGATTTTCCGATTATGACCTTACCTATGATAAATCTCATTTGTTCGACAGACCTGATGTTTTGAGGATTGGATGAATCTATATAGCCTGTTTTTAATATTTCACATGCGGAATTATTTTAAATAATTTCATTTTTAACTTAATTTTTCCAGTGAGTCAATCAGATGCGGAAAAAGAGGAATGTGCAACTGTGGAGCATGTGGTTGTCACGGTTACCATTTCACATAAGAAGAGGGGTGATCTAGAGATGGTGTTATTTTGTCCAACTGGAACCAAGTCAGTTATTGGTGCTAGAAGAATTAAAGATCTGTAAGTCAGAGAAAGTGTATATAACCCTCCCCTTTGAACACCACCCTTACATCTCAAAACTATGAAAACACCGCCCTAGTACTTATCATACAGTTTGCACCAGCTGACTACATAACACTCCAGTCAGTGGCGGCGCCAGAAGGGGGAGCAGGGGGGCTTAAGTCCCCCACTGGACAGGTCAACCCCCTCCCCACCGGACAGGTCAAGCTCCCCGCCAGACAGAGCTCGTTGGGCAGTCAGACCATAAAACATATAAAAATAGGCCCACACTAAGCCAACACATGTCTGTCACAGTCTGAGTGTGCCATTTTCGGACATCTAGAGGTTGATATTCTTTAAAAAAATCTCATTTGTGAGGGGGAACCTCCTCTCAACCCCTTCCTCCAGCTCGAGCCTACGAGCTCAAGCCCCCCTGTCGGACAACTTATGCTCCCCCCCACCCTAGAAAATATATCCTAGAGCCGCCAATGACTCCAGTATGTACCACCCTTCTAAGCAACACCCGAGTAGCTCCCATCGTAGTACGTACCTTATCAGTCATACCTTTTTTTTATCCTCTCTACTACATATCTACAGGAAGGATTTGCCGTAGCACAACGGTTTGGTTTCCCAACCTTGAGCTTGGGGCTTGAATCCCTTGCAGTACACTTTGCGTCTGTCCCTGAGCAAGGCACTTTGTCTGCATTGCTTCTATCCACCAAGGAGTAAAATGGGTACCAGATTGGGTTGCCTGCTACTACGCAAATAAGGCAGCAACACTGCATGTGGACCCAATGACCAGAGAAATCAAAGCACTTTGTAAATTAAAGGAAAGGCTCTATGTAAATATATATATATATATATATATATATATAAAACAAATTGGTAGCACTTTAGCATGTACCCCCCTCCCCCAGTAGGCAAATTACACTAATATAAATACTGCCTTAGTACACACAACTGTAGTATCCATGAAAGGGCCTCAAGGTAGTCTTGGAGAAAACCTGTTTCAATGGGCTTTCTTAACACTATCTAATTACTTTGAATTGACGATTAAATAACTTTGATTAAACTAACAATTAACTTTGATTTAATCTCATTTATGCAGTTCCAGTGATGGTTTTAAAGACTGGAGTTTTTCAACAGTAAGGTGTTGGGGTGAAAAACCATTTGGAGCTGTTTTTTTCTGTAGTAAAAAGGCTGCAGGGCTCAAATGCAATTTGAATGGATTAATTCAATCTTATGTGGAATAATTGCCTCCAATGCATGGAAATACCACTAAAATAATTGCTGTATTTAATTTTTTCTCATTGTTCAATCACCTTAGTTTTTGTTGTTAGTTTCTTAACTGTTAACTTTAAAGGCATTACCTATTCTTAAGCCTAGCATAGATCTAGGTGTATTAGAAAACTGAAAAGGGTCTGTAATGTCATCCGTATTTAATTTCATCACATATCTAGTCGTATCTATATAAAATCTAATAAACATATCAAGCTTTTAGAATACTGTTAAGTTCTTCTATTCATGCAGACAGGTACAACAATGCTATAACTTCATCTAGGCCCCTAGGCCCATAGATAATGCTGTAGCCTATGATTTCCTTGAGTGGAGTGCAGATGTAGAGCTAGATGAATGTAAAATCAAAATAGGTTTTTTCCCCGATACATAGTGTAAACAAGAAATGACCTTCACCTGATGTGTATCAAACTGTATGAGCTGAAATTTAATGAATGTTTCAGGATTGGGAATTAACATTTGACGGTAAAATGATGTCATAATTGAAATAACTAATAATATACACCAAAACTAAGCTTCCCTAATGGAGAACGAACATTTACATATGTTATTTCCATTGTGTAATGTGCAATCCTACTCATATAAATGGAAAAAATGTAATATAATAACCATTTTGAAGTCAAAAAGGAAATTTACAATTTTATATTTTAAATGTGTATATATGTTATGTTTTACAATCCTTCCTAGTAAAATTAAACAAAAATATATATTTGCCTAAAGTCCTGTTCACATTATGTAAATCTTAAGTGAAAAATTTGTGTGATCTGCCCATATATGGGCATGATGATGTAATAATATATATATTTTTTTGTCACATAAAATTTGATAGTGTGAATAGAGCCTAAAGCTCGGTCCATACTATCAAATTTTCTTTGGCACAAAACTATTGTATGACCATATATGGTTGTATAACCATGTATGGTCATGTTATGATGTCATCATAACTATGTCACATGTTTTTGTCACATAAAATTTGATAGTGTGAATAGAGCTTAAAGCTTGATCCATACTATCAAATTTTCTTTGGCACAAAACTAATGTATGACCATATATGGTCAGGATGTGATGTCATCATGACCATGTCGCTTGTTTTTGTCGCATAGAATTTGATAGTGTGGACAGAGTTTAAGTTTCTGTGCTTCAATGAAAAAACACTGCTCGATTTTAGAAACCAGAGTCAAGGATAATTGATGATTTAATAAAAACCAATTTGATATAGATGAGGACTTAAAGTCTGATATGAATTATTACTTAAGAACCTTGAAATCCCCAGTACATGAATAATTCCCTTCTAGTGAAAGTGTGGCACTCGCATTTCTGACGTGATGACAGCGTTGGGAGCGTTTTCTAATGCTCAGAACATTATGGAAAATTGATTTGCGCTGTTCTTAACACAAACAACATTCTGTTATTTTTTCGCATCGATTATTCTGTGAGCAGCCTCGGTAAAGTGTTTTCTTTAGATTGTTGGATACATACGTGAGCACAAGCAGGAGATAGATGTGGCTTGGCTTGATTACTCTAGCACTATTCAGTAGTTCAATTACAGGGCAATAACATTATACTTTCCTTCGTATATGAAGTCCTTGGTTCAAATCATAGATGAGTCTATTTTGTTAATACTTAGCCAAGATTTTTTTTTCTCCAAAATTTATGTTTGAAAGATTGTGAGAAATGAGCAATAAAAGAAATAAAACTATAATTTTATTTTCTCATTTACTCCCCCACTGGTGCCACTCCCACTGGCGCCACCCCTGGTCCTGGGTTCAAATCCACCTTGTATCTATTTTGTGAATAATTAGCCAAGACTGTTTTTTATACCATGTTTAGTCAAGTTTATGTTGGAAAGAATATCAGAATCATTATTATTTAATTTTGTAACCCAATTAAGCAAAATGGTTTCGCCAAAAGAATCAACTGGTGAAAATTTGACACGTTAGCCATTAGTCAGGGTTAACTTCGGGCAGCCAGTGCACGTAAATTTAGTCGCCAGAACGTGAACTCCCGACCTGGAGGTTCAAGGAAGAAGTAATGATCTCAAAATAAATACTGTATGTTTGTTCGTGTTTCATTATAGTTGATGGGAGTGATTTTCATTATGATGGCGCCCTTCATGCCTTGGCGTATGGGAAGTTTTCAATAAAGACCATTTAACTTGTGGAGGGTCGTCAAACAGTGCTTAACATTATTTCCTTCCTACCCGTTTCCTGAGCTCATATTCCATGGGGAGCCATGATTCTTTGCATATGACAAAAAACAATTCCACACATTAAGCCTCGTATTATTCTATCCTATAGTTTCATGAGTATGTCTACTGCTGGTTGTGAAAATTGTAAAAAAAAAAATTAAAAAGAACAAAATGAAAGAAAACATCATAAATCCCCATCGTCTAATGTAATTCGTAGCATAGACATGTTTGTGTATCTTTGGAGTCTAAAAGACATTTGTAAGTATTGAAAGTGATAACGTTTATGCAAGTTTTAAAGTTTGATGGATGCCAGCATCTGCGGTCTGATCCTCTATTGACACAAGACTTTCTTACAGTCGGAATGAACATGTTATTAAAGAAAATTATGTTTTTATAGAGATTTTTGGCTTTTTTTTTTCTCAAGAAAACATGCAAGGGCACTTAAAGTTCATTTCAAACTAAAAATGCAAATCATAGACAGAAATTTTCTGTAGAAACAAATCTCAAAGTAAAATTTTAAAATAACAAATAATATATGTATATAAGAGACCGATATATGTGTGTGTGTGTATCTATATATGTATATATGTATATATATATATATATATATATATATACTCACATATTTATACATATATAATATATACACACTACACATAATTTTTTTTAGGCGCTGGACATCAGCTGTTACATTTATGTCATTACGAATTTTTTTTTCAGACAAGAATTTTTTATACCAATTGCTTAGCAAACTTATTTAAAAGACCATCAGGAGAAGGGTGGAAAAATAAAAATTAAATTTAGTCTTCTTATTTTTCCAAATGGTTTTGCCCAAAGCATCTAGGCGAGAGAGAAAATAAATATATAATTTTTTATTGATAAATGTAAACAATGATGGGATTGATATATGCTTTATATTCATACAGTTAAGGAAGACATACAGGTTTCTTATGTTTGAGGAATTTTTTTATGGTAAAGTAAATAAATATTAAGTAAATATTCATATTAAACTTCATAGTTTTTTTTTTATTGTAAATTTGAACCTTGATTTATGGAAATGTTTTAGAAAATTGTTATGTGATTTGATGCATTTACTACAATGATATTCATTCACCGATTTATAAACAGTAAGAGGTATGGTGATTACGCAATGTATGTATTTTTAACTGTCAGGGCGCAAGTATTGCGAGTCCACACTGAATTGTAACGTGATTATGTGAGACTCACTCCGACCTTAGGTAATGTAATTGTTGTTTTGCCATTTCTTTTCATTAAAAAAGAAAATTGGGAGTTTTGTTCGCAAACTTCCGTCAAATAATCAATTCTTTTATCAAATGAAGTATGCAGGACAAAATGTTATGGGTTTAAGTTATTCTCTCGTGTTCTATGTTTAATAAATCATGCATTGAATGCTGCTTCTTTATATTGGTAGTTACAGTATCTAAAAATAACTGTTATATACATGACATGTTTTATTGTAATGTATTACCATACTCCTTGTTTTACCGTAACTTAAAAAAATTGGTTGCTACTTCTTGTCGGGTTTTATAATGTCGGCTCGTCTGATTTATTATTGGTTGTCCTGCTCGCAGTAGCTACCAATTTTCGAGTATTTAATTCAATCTTTGTAAATGCAAGTCTTAAGATAAGATTTACCATTATCGTGAAGGTAAACAATGACGAACATGAACTTTGTTTCCCACTGCCTTTTGAAAACGTCTGCCTGATTTACGGCATCAAAGGAACCGCATTGATCACGTCCAGCCTATAAATTGTTGCAATATCCATTTTTAAATGAGGCCATGATTACACAACCATTTAGCATCTCCAACTTATACGTTTGAAAAGTTCAACGTTTTTGCAAATACAGATGTTTGCTAAGTAGGCCCTAGTGATGTCTTAACCAGCTTACAGAATTCTCTTTGCAATAATATATCAGAATCCATCCATTAGTAAGGGTCACTCTATAAAGAAAAATATTAAAAACTCAAATTTTTATCTGCTGGAAAATGATAGAAAAAACAGGAAGATATATTTGTCATGTTTTTTTTGGTTCACACGTGATAGTCCTACTTATATAATATTCATGTGACTAATATATAGCCATTCTTTATCGCATGCCGTTCTTTTTTTGTTTTGTTTCATTCTAGTTAACATATATACACGATAATTTTATTGTGAACCTAGTTTCATTTTAATGCATGTTAAAAATATAAACATCCTGTTTTTTCAGCCACTGATTGGCTATGTTGTTAGCATTCGTTTTATTCAAAGTCTTCAGGGTAGAGACATGATGCTTTATTGCATTGCAATAAATGCTGAAAGTGACTCAAGTATTAGAATCCTTCCCTTAATCCTAGTATGTCAGATTTAAACATACCGTTTCCATTTATTCTTTGTTACATTTAACTGTACAGCATATGATAGCAATATTTACGTATTCTAGAAATGATTAAAAGTTGGGTTTCTTCAATGCAAAAATGCAAACCATTTTTCAAATGGTTTCATTATTATTGGACTTTTTTTTTCATTATAAATTTGCTCAACAATGTACCTTGATTTTTATTTTTTTCAGAACTAAAATTGACTATAGAAAATGAAATAAGTTTTACTGCTCACAAAACAGAAAAAAAAAGATGAAATAAGTTTTTCTTATTGATTTATTATTGGAAATGACTAATTTAAGCCCTCGTTTATGACCCAATGTCATGATCGTAAAAATGCAATGTTGCAAGTTATTACCACTTCAGTTATTCGACTGATAAACTA